GAATTTGACAAAACAAAATTTATATTACATGAAAATTATATAAAAGTGATTATTTCGAAAAAAAGAAAGAAGGGATTTATATTATGAAAAAGAAAATAAGAATGAAATAGAAATAATAATATAATATTGAGGAGAGAGAAAAAGACTCTTTTTTAGAGAGTAAAATAAAGAATTGGATTAGAGTTGATTGTCTAAAAAAAAATAGAGAACTCTATATTTAGAGAGTGAAATAGAGAACAGGGTTGGAGATGCCCTTAGGACATGTGTGGAAGGCAGGGGCGGATCTACGTTCAACGAAGGGGGTTCATCCGAACCCCCTTCGTACGAAAAATTACACTATATATATAAGATTAAATTTTGAATATATGTGTATATATATACTATTGAACCCCCTGAACATACACCAAAGGCGTAGCTCAGTGGCGTTGGGGGTTCAGGAATTTGCTCTACTGCACGCGAGGTCGCGTGTTCGAATCCGGGCAGAGGCATTTTGTTTTATCAGCTTATTTCAGGCGTTTTTATTTTTTAAAAATAAATAATAATGCAATCAGAAAATGATGTTTAGTTCCAAAAAATTAAAACGCTGATTGGGAATTTAGGATTTATAGTTTATTCCCAAATTATAAAGTCAAATATTTAAAAATCCGTTTCTTCTTGATTCGACTGTTTAATCCGACCCGTTTATATTCGATTCGACCCGTTTATTTGTGGATATTATTTACGTGTATTAATTTTTTTTGAACCCCCTTGATGAAAATCCTCCCTCCGCCACTGGTGGAAGGTCACCATGGTAATTGAATTTGGTGCAATTACAATGTATGTGCTGTTTGATTAGCCATGTAATTACCTAGTCAAAAGTAATTGGGTGTAATTGGCAGAGTGTAATTACACTCTTCGGTTCACAGGAGAGGTTGTGAATTACTGGTAAGGTAATTACATGATGTAATTAAAAGTTGATTACTTTTTAATCTCTTCATTTTATTTCTATTTTTAGTTTTTTGCTTAAATGTATTTTTTGTTTTTATTATTCTAATATTTTCTAAAAATATTTTCTTATTATTTATATTTCATTTCCTTCTTATTCTCAACATTTACTTCCGACGATCCCATGCAATTTTTTGTACTATGTTAAAAAAAATATTAGTATAATTTTGTTAGTATTATATTTTTTAAATTAAAGTAGAATTCATTATTGAATAAAGTTATGGACTTACGTTTTCCTTTTCTTTTAAATCATATTTATGTATGTTATGTTTAAATTTGAAATAAAAGTGTTATGTTAAATTTTTTGTTTTGAATTTTGAACTTATGTTATATTTTCAATTTCATTTTGTTTAGGAGTATTGACTCAATATTTTGCATTACAAGCTATTTTTTCTTAAGTTAGACTTGATAGATTGTCTTTTTGTCAAATGTTTAATAATTTTATGACGTTATATTTATAATATTAATCTTTTAGTCAAACATGCCTTGCATGATGTTCATAGAAATTCTATACTTTTAGTTCTTATGATTATTTTAAATTAAAATATGTAAATCAATTTTTTTATAATATTAGTTAAGCACATATGTTTATTAATTAATATATTTTCAAAAGACAAATGCCCTTATTGTCTAATACAAATTTTATTTTTAAATAATTAATTTTAATTTTTGAAATTCAATATAACTGTATAATTACACTTGTAAGTACATTGTAATTACACTATGGCAAACAAACATGTTGGCATGATTACTAGGTTGTGCAATTACTAGGCTGATAATTACTACCATTGTAGTAATTACACAAGTTCCAATAACCTAGTGGTTTTCCAAACATACCCTTAAAGTTAAGTTTTCAATAAGTGAACATGAATTAATTTATTTTTATCAATTAATTTGATCAATGAACATAAATGATTTACTTATTTTTTTCTATGTTGGTCAAATGTATATTTTCAAAGTTAAAAACTCTCCAGGGTAAAATAGAAAGAATATTGTCATTTATGCATTCGTTTTGTGAAATGACAAGTATTTCCTCTGTCCATATTAATTGATCATCTTACTAAAAATAATTAACTCATATAAGTGTCAACCTTATTAAATCGTGAGGACATTAATTAAAATTTTCTTATATTACCTTTGTAATTAATTTTTTTTGAAAGTGTTCAAATTTGTTTCTAAAAATCTCAAAAAAAAATTAAGGGATGAATTAGTAAAATTATCTTCTTATTTATGATTTCTTAATATGCATGTAAAAAATAAAATGATCAACAAATATAGAACGAAAGAAATATTAAAAAACATTTACTTTTAATATAGATGACATATAAATAGAAAATCAGGAAATATCATATTTTTATTATGTTTCCTTTTCTTGGTTGATTAGTGTAAAAAAGAAAAATAGTTACATCATTAATATACATTTAATGTTGTTGACAGTCATATGAAAAAATATAGTTTCTGATGGAGGTGCCTTTTGCTTTTTTAAAGTTTAATTTGACCTAATAAATGTTGTGTATGTTCTTTTAAAGAAAGGTGTGAATATTAATTACTCTTTAATAACGTTAGATACAGTACGACATTAAATTAGTTAAGTTTATATTATTTTGTGAGTTATATAATTGACTAGTTTAGTTGAGTGATTCTCCTTTGATTTTTTACGAATTAGAACTTTGATCGGATACATTTTGACTAGTAAGATTTATAAGTTTGTAATTTTCATCTTATTTTTGTTTGATTTGATTTTGAATCAACGCACACAAATTTGAAAAATATACCATGAAAGGTTAAATATAATTATGAATCAACTTTCAAAACACACAAATATTAGATAATCAATATAGGTTGTACTGTAGTGGTGAAATTGATTTATTCTTAATTAGAAGTTTCAAATTTGAATTTTGAATATGAAGAAAATTATATTAGAAACGTCACTTCTAAATAGGTCCTGTAATACGTGATTCAAATTTAATCAAAATTTCAGTGCGAGGTTCGAAAACCTTGTAAAAAAAAAAAAGAATAGACAAGACAAGAGAGTTAAAATATACTGATAGATTAGACAACACAAGGAAGAAGAGAGTTAAATATTCTGATTGATTAGACAAGACAAGAAGAGTAGAGAGTTAAATATACTTTGAATATTTATGGGGAAACCAACATATCAATTTACTCTTGTAGCTATATTCAATGCTTGGACGTATAGGCGTATATAAATCAAATGTATATATTTTTTACGAATTAGAACTTTGATCGGATACATTTTGACTAGTAAGATTTATAAGTTTGTAATTTTCATCTTATTTTTGTTTGATTTGATTTTGAATCAACGCACACAAATTTGAAAAATATACCATGAAAGGTTAAATATAATTATGAATCAACTTTCAAAACACACAAATATTAGATAATCAATATAGGTTGTACTGTAGTGGTGAAATTGATTTATTCTTAATTAGAAGTTTCAAATTTGAATTTTGAATATGAAGAAAATTATATTAGAAACGTCACTTCTAAATAGGTCCTGTAATACGTGATTCAAATTTAATCAAAATTTCAGTGCGAGGTTCGAAAACCTTGTAAAAAAAAAAAAGAATAGACAAGACAAGAGAGTTAAAATATACTGATAGATTAGACAACACAAGGAAGAAGAGAGTTAAATATTCTGATTGATTAGACAAGACAAGAAGAGTAGAGAGTTAAATATACTTTGAATATTTATGGGGAAACCAACATATCAATTTACTCTTGTAGCTATATTCAATGCTTGGACGTATAGGCGTATATAAATCAAATGTATTTTATAAAATTTAAAATTAGTAATATTATATATTTTGAATTTATTATATCAAATTGATCAAATTTATATGTTGATGCGTTTTTTTATAATTGTGCGACCAATTATGGATACACCTCGGCTTTGGACGACTTTATTTTTCTTTTGTAAGTATATCTAAAGCTACTTAAGCTTCGTTTCAAATAATAATATCCAGTTAACAAAAAAAAAAGCTCCTTTTAAACTGAAATGACTGAAATACCCCCTATAAGTCAAGCACACATGCTGACCTGGATCATTAATCTATAACCATCACAAAAACAAAACAAAATCATTGTTAGATTCAGAGAAGAAGTCACCATTTACAATTCAACTGAATAATAGAAAGAACAACAATGGGTGAACATTTCATATAATTTGAAAATTAAAATTAATATTTAGGTGTAAAAATAATAGTAATATATTTTTTTGGAGGATTCATAAATAAATCAGATGTTTGGTAGCATCACGCAAAAATATCAATACTTTATTTGGGCATATTCAATCGAATAAAACCTAAAGATATTGTTACGATACTGAATTTTATATATACTATTCAAATTTCATATTTTCGATTGTGTTTTCTTTTCTCCACTTTTTCGGCCATCAGAATTTATACGGGATCTAATCGAAAAATAATTATTATTGTTGCCCCGATACCATAAGGCAGAGGATTCTTGTTATTACTGTAATATGATTTTCGCTAATCAAGATTGTTCGTAAATTTTTTTTTCTTTGATTCCTATTTATTTATGTTCATATTTATATCATTATATGATATACAAAATAATCTATTTTGTTTTGTCAATTCATTTTAATGTTAAATTTGGTTGAATGATTTTATTGATATAAAAATCTAAGTCGAATGATTTTATTGATACAAAATAAATTTTAATGATTTTATTGGATAAATTCTCAAAATTGAGTGAACTTTTGAAATATTAACTCCATATATTAGTGATGTAATTTTCCTCCGCGTGTAATTTTTATTTGTAGATAAAATTATCGAATAGAATCTGCAGAGAAACTAACTCAAAAGTTAAAAGCATCAAAAAATTTGATAAAACTGATAATTTAAAGGGAGATCTCTAAAATATTTTGATGCAGAAAAGCTGTGCACTTTCAATGTTACCATCTTCAAAAGTTGTGCACTCATCCAAAAGCTGCGCACTCATACAGAAAAGCTGTGCATATAAAGATGGAGAAATAAAAAATTCAAACCAATAAATATAGATTTTACCATCCTCAAAAAATAATAAAAAAAGCATCACTTTTAAATGTGTTCATTGTTCAACCACATGAGATTTACACCAATATCTAACATCATAGTATATTTACCAAACACAAAATCTATACTTTTTAATTCGATAATTTGAATTTTGTCAAAAGTGACTCATCAATCTAGTTGCTTGCAACAAATACAACTTGATAATCTAAATTGGCAGAGCCCCTTGTTGGATGGAGGACATGCGGTCCCTAAATTTGAACTTAGTTCAGCCAGTTCAAATGTTACCGTTACAATATTATATTTTTAAAATAAAAAATAAAATGAAAATTTCTCTAAAAATAGCTACTTCAACCTTTGATAAATTTGGTTAAAAGAAACCAATAGTAAGCTAATAGTATGTATGTATGTATATATATCCAAATATCCAAGCCAATTTTGATTAATAAATAAAGATAAAATTTATTGGTTTTAGAAAATGCATAAAAGATGAATTCCAGAATAATAAAATTTCATTCTCTTACACCTTTTTGGTTCATCATCCATATACTACATAATCATTTCTTTACAAACCCCTCTTTTATTTTTATAGAGTAGCAGCTAAATCAATTAAAATTTCATTTGCTTAAAGGTTCATCATCCATATACTACATAATCATTTCTTTACAAACCCCTCTTTTATTTTTATAGTAGCAGCTAAATCAATTAAAATTTCATTTGCTTAAAAAACAACCGGAAAATTAGGCAACCCCTTTAAAAAGACATTTTAAAGAAGGTTAGCTCTTTTTCCCTATCAAAATAATGATAAAATCCTAAGAGATAGCAGTGTCAATTTCTTCTTTGGTGCTGAGGGGAGGAAGAATACACAGATACAAATTATAGAGAAAATGATAGATGCATCTTTTGAAATATTCCTAAAAAGAAAGTAAGATTGATGTGCAATGGCTACAAGACATATACGTGTCATCACATGAGGCGTTAAGTGCTACTTTCCACGTCCTAAGTACAGATGTAATTGCATTGATAGTTTCCATAAAGAATAGTCAGATTCATGTTGGAGAAAGCTAAGAAACCAAGTTAGAAACAAAGACATGCGCGAGAAAAAATCCTTGCGAAGTAACTAATATTTGTTGTATGGCTAACATGTTCAGCTACTTTTTCATAAGAGCATGGAACAATGACCAAAGACATGTGTTGTTATTGCATTCCAATTGCTACAAACTTAATTGTGCACCAGAACATCCCAACTAAATGAGTATAAGTTTTGGTCTACTATGTGAAGCCAAAAATAGGTCACAGAATATATACTAGTCGTATTCATTTTATATAGATCACTATTTTTAACTTCAAATTTGCAATGCAGACAGGCGGGGAAAGGGTGAACTAAAGATGATGATTTTAAATTCCGATGATGATAAACACAAGTCACTAAGATGAAAGCCTCTGTAAAGGGTGAGCACATGGGATTTAAAATTGCACTATATACATCCCTTGTATGATCAGATGCAACAGTTAACACCTAAAAAGTACTCCGCAAGAAAAATAATTGATAAATTGTAGATTGAAGATTATCAATAAATATATGCTTAGACATTTCTGAGGTTCAATACCATGCCATACTGAAAGTTTATATAGGAAGCAAGCTAGTGAACTCTATGTCAAGAACAACTGTCAACCACAAAAGAGAGCATAATTTTGAAATTTGCCACAAAAGGTTCATATCATAAGTTACTTGAATTTGAAGACACACTGCCGCAGGGCAAAAATCTCATCCTGTGCTATTGACACGTCTTTTTGATTCAAGCAAGTGTCAATGATCATGTTAAATTACTTTCTCTAGGAATTTTCAGAAACATTATTTGAGGACTTTAGAGAAGAAGGATATCAAGCATATACCTTAACATTTGAACTGAATAAAGTAGCTTTGGGAGCAAATTGTATCATCACCACATTCAAGGGCGGCAGAGCTGTCACGGCCTTCTCTTATGCACCTAAGAGTTTTCTTAAATTGTCCTGAGTTGATCTATGATGTATATTGTAATGATATTAGCTTCAGAATATGAGACTTTAAGCTACATGCCAAATCATTTACTAAATTTTTTCACTTGGGAGATAGATTACTTCGGGAAATCTTGCGTGGAAGTAGACACTTCAGATTTGCCATGTCGTGAAATGAAAGAAGTACAGAGAAATGTCAAATATGAAAGTTTATAGTTGTGAAAGCAAAACGTAAACATAATAGGACAAGAAGAGGGAGAAAAAGAGAGGGAGTACCTGAGGACCTTGTTCAACACCTTTCGTGAAGGGATCGCCAACTACAGGTCTCATTACACATGCCTTTGCCTTCCCTATAGGTTCATCATATACTCGTTCATATACGTAGACATGGGAACCAGCACAACAACATTTTTCCTACAAGTACAGAGAACTCCAATCATGTGTTCAATTATGGGTACCTATTTTTTTGAAGAACCTGCCTGGTCTTATTAAAGAGGACTGCAAAATGTGCTAGCTGGACAGGATAATCAATGTCAGTATCCTTGCACATAGTCAAGTGATATAATTTGAAGAGAACAGTTCAGTAAATTGGGTATAATCACAACATTCGAGTAATAGGTCATGGATCATTAAAACTTTGAAATAAGATTCGTAGTTATCATAATAAAGGCATACCTTTGCTTATAGTCAAGTGATGTAATTTGAAGACAACAGTTCAGTAAATTGGGTATAGTTGTAAGTTTTTTCCCTTTCCCGTTGCAGGGACTAACCTGCAGTATATTCATCAATTTTATTATCATACCTTCGTGAATTCTAGTAGAACAAGCAATTCTATTTGCCACCTCATTTTCATTGTCATAGAAGTATAGTTGTAAGTTTTTTCCCTTTCCCGTTGATAAATCATCAATGAAGTGGTACATCTTTCCTTGAACTTTGAAGGTATAAATACCATGATATCTCTTAGCCAAGTCTTTGTCATATTTTACCCCAAGTGAAGTAAAAGCGAACATATTATTGTATGTCCTAACATATGTTCGAAAATGTTCAGACTCTTCGGAAGAATTTAAAAATAAAGTTCTTAGTTCTGTAGGCATTTTATGTGATGTAAGCTTAATCGAGCCATTATCGCAACAAAATCTAGGCGTTTCATACTGAAATCTTTTTGCACTGCAGAATTTACAATTTGGGACAACTTTGAGAGGTATATACTCAGATTTAGATTCTTTAACATTTATCTGACAACCTCTGCTGGACCTATTTCCTAAATATCACAGAATTGGTTAGAGCTGAAAGGAAAATAGTGAATACTATTCTATGTGAGGAAACTAGCGAATAGTATTCTATGTTGAAATTAAGACAAACCTCTATTTGATATATTGATCTTGGTAACAGTACAGGGGTCAGGAGATGTAGCTGATGTGGATCCTAATATAGAAGTAGTTATGAATTAGAAAAGCAAATGCCTTATGGCTGCCGAAAGCTAACAAAAATAATATGATTGTTATACTCGCCTGTTTCAAAGACACGGGAAGGATGAAACAAACTTTTCCCTTTTGGAGAAGTGGCAGCTGAAGTATGAACTTCAGATGTAACAACTAATATATAAAGATGAAGTGCGTCAAAGCAGATCATGCATGTATATAATTTACATATGCATACAGGTATGTAAAGAGCATAAATTTAACCTACTAACCTTTTGTTGACGTAACATAAGGCTCTCTTATCATGACAGGAACTTGTAGAAGACGTCTTCTTGACTCGAGGTCTCTTGTGCGCCTTTGTAATAGTAATGCCTCTTTTTGAGCTAGCAACATTTCTTTATATTTTTTGCGCCCATTGAATCTCATTTCAGCGGTTGTATTAGAGAAAGATGGGCATTTGTTCTTTTGCTCTGAACGTGTCATCTGCATACAGACAGCCAAGAAATTGCACACGCAGATAAGACATGTATGCATAAATGAAAATGCTCGACTGAAAGCTAGTGTAATCTGGTCTAATTTGGTTATTTTGTGGTGCTGCGTATTGCTGTGCTTTAATGGAAATATCTTTGGTCTGTTGTGTTATGCCTATCTGATGTTAGCTAGTACTAATCCGCTAAGATGAAGTTTTCGGGTTACAACATGCTCATTTGTTGATTTAGCTTACAAAAGTGCGACGTAATGCTTTACCTGGGTCGACATAGTGAAGAAGTTGGATTTATTGACTATTTATTCCCAAAAGAAGCCAAAAAAAAAGGCATCAACAAATTTCAACCAACATCCTTTTTTTGGCATGTGAATTCAGCTAAAAGTAAAAGCACGAATTTGACCAAAATCTCAAATTTCCATTTGTCATATGAATCCATATAACAGTAAAAGCATTAATTTTATCAAAATCTTACATACCCATTTGAAGAATTGGCCAAATTTTGGGTGGAAATAACCCATAACAGTAAAAGTATTAATTTTATCAAAATCCTACATACCCATTTGAAGAATTGGCCGAATTTTGGGTGGAAATAACCCAAAAAGCATTTAAAAAAAGAAGAAGAGGAGAGGGTGTCAAACTAAGCAAATCTGTATGTGCTTTTATCAAATACTTACCTAATAAAGTAGAAACAACCTCTGCAATCGAAGAAGAACAAAGAAAGTGCACAACAACTTTGAGACAACTATGAAATCTTGCAAGCAACTGAGGTAGAGGAAGATGGAAGCTGTGGTTTTCTGTTGGAAACAACGGAGCTGCAGTTTTCTTTAGGATAAAATTTGAGGACGCGTGTTAAAGCCAGAAAGAAACTAAAGAATGAAATGACAATAATACCCTAATGAGCAGTGCTTGCTCAGCTCCAACTCCTAAATAAAAAAGGAAAATAAGAGTTTGAGAAGTTTTAGTAGACACAAAAGGAAAAATTGGAGAGTTCATATGATATAACCAAATTAAAAGAATAAAAAATAAAAATGACAAAGGAAAGGAATTACCATAAAGTGAGACGAAATGCTTTCAACTTTCTACGCGTATGAGTTTAGACGAGGTTCCTTTTCCTTGTATTTGAAATTTATTGACTCGATTAGTTTAATTTTGATGACATATTTGAACAAGTTTAAGCTTTCATTTTGAGAAGAACCTACTAATATAGAAATATTTAATAAATTCGGCAATACCGCAGCTCTCCTCCCAACTCTAAGATCAATTTTTTACCAAAAAAGTGAGGAATAGTTGAATACCCAAATAACGAAAAATCGATTTTTGTAGAGAGAAGTTGTTGAACAACAAAACAAGCCAAAATTATGTTCGACCCAAAATCACACATGCAATCACATGACATGCAGCACCAAAACAAATCTTAATAATCAATAGGAACACATACATACATACGCGCTAAACCGCAAAAAGGAGGAACTATGAATTCCTAAATTTGGGGAGGAGAGAACATCAACTACATAAAGAGAAGTCAAATCAAAAAGCAAATCAGTTATGGAAGCGAGGACAAAGAAAGAACACCGAAATTAGCGAGATTAAGCTGAAAGAAAAGGTTTTCCACGGCTATTTCTAATAATCACTTATCTGGGTATGTCCCAGAGTACCATTGTTGGGGAAAATGCATAAAGTAAAAGTTCAGTGCATGTATGTGCATAATCAATTTAAGCTCAGAACAAATATTTGAAACGGAAATTCCATAAAAAGAAAAGCACAAATTACCACAGATGAAATCCATAGGAGAGGCAATATTGAACAGAAAGGGGAAAAGAGTGATTTTGGAAATCCAAATCTGAAGAAGAAAATCAGAAATTTTGATAGAACTGTGAGATCTCCAAATTCAGATAAGGATAGTACAAAGAAATATGTCAAAGCACCGCTTGAAGAACAAGAGCAAGAAAAAGAAAAATATATCCTCCAACAATGAAGCAGACATGACAACCAAGAGCTGGCTGCTGTAGAGTCTTGAGACAATTAAATGAAAGAGTCAATTAAGTCTTCATTTGGTTTTTCGTGACACTTTGATCAAGAAAGGGTCAAATTCACTTTAAAATATAATTAAGTAAATCTGAGATCAAATTAATATTTTTAAAATTTTCTAATCTTTTATAAAATACAAAAAAAAACACTTCATTTTTCAATTTTTATAATTCTATCCAAACCATTTTTTTTTTAAAAAAGTAAAAGAAAATAGAATTTTCTCTTCTTCTTCTCCCAACGTTCTCTCTTCTCTTCTTCTTCTTCCTTAGAAAATTCAAAAATCCGACTATCAAAACAAGTATTCTCCCCCATTATCTTATCTTCCTCCTCATCTCCGGCCGTGACTCTCTCCTCTTTGTGAACTGAAGATTGTGTTCGACTTAAAATGGATAAGTCATTTTTTAAAAAGATTTTACAATTTTCGAACAATACTAAGTTTTTTTCTTGGGTTAATGAACAATAAATCGTTCTAGATGTGAAAATTGAATAATGGTGTAATGGTAGCTATTATTTATGTTTTTGAAAGAAAATCAACAAACCCAAAAGGCCCTAATTTTGAAGAAATGTATATGTATTGTTAACATTCAGTGAAAAATCATTTTTGTTGCTTTTGTTGTTTTTTTTGTGACCATTTTGTTCATATAATTTTAGAAATATAGTCTTGTTCAGTTGTCCAATATATATTTCATTTGTTGAAAGATGTGTCGTATGTTGCTACATTTTAGTGATATGTTGGTATATATTTCAACAGAGTTGTCATATGTTCGAACATATCACCTATGTGTTAGGGCAACAAAATGGGCATCTGTAGTAACAGAAGATTAATCTGTGGCACATGAAGATTCATCTGTGGCAACAGAAGGTACATATGTGTCAACATAAAATCCATCTGTATCAACATAAGTATAAATTGCTACCCATTATTATTTTATAATCAATTGTAAATTCTCAACCTTTTTTTATTTACCTTGTAGATGAAATGATACAAGAAACTTCATCCATGACAACAACTCAATCTTTTATTGGTGTTGTTTCCTCTTCTAACATCAAATGCTCTTTTTGTCTATGCGAAGAATGTGAGTAGCAACATGATTATTTTTATTAGTCGTGTTAAAGAACTCACTGATATTTTTAAGGAAATGACTTATAATATTGATGTCCATATATCCAAGAAGATTTCACAGCCTTTGAAGTGTAGGAGGTTGAAATTTTTTTATTTCCCAATCACTATCTATAATTAGTGAAAGAAAAAAAATCAATGACTACTGCTCCAGTATCACACTCAAACCCAAAAGGCAAGGAGAAGGAAAAGGAGAAGGAGAGGAGGAGGAGAAGGAGAGGAGGAGGAGAAGGAGAAAGCGAAAGAGAAAGAGAAGGAGAAGGAGAAGGAGAAAGTGAAAAAGAAAGTGAAAGAAAGAGAAGAAAGTTGAAGTTGTCAGTTGTGATGTAAAGCAACAATATGCATTTGAAGGTTTTAACATTGACGACGAGGGTCCAAGTGAACTAATATCATCCTTCTCGCAATGGATAAATGAGGGTCTTTACAAGCATCATGCAAAAAAGTAAAGTCGTTCAACTATTATTAGTATTTCTTCTTGTTGTCCACTAAATAATTATTTATAATGATTACACAGTTGCAGAAGAAACAAGGACGATCACTACTTAGCCAATTGCTCGAATCTTGAGTTCAAACAACTTAATTTTGTAGTTGCATTTCCAAAGAACAAGGACTGGTTCTACGTAATGTTTCAACCCAATAAGTGCTGGACTGATGAGGTAAATCGAAGCCCACTTTTATTTTTTGATTAAGACATGAATGCATACAAATAAATTGATACATAAATACACTTGTTGTTACATCTGTGCAGTATGTGGATGTCATTTTATACTATTTGCGGAAGAAGTCGAAGCAACATAGTCATTCTAAATATCGATATACCACTACTAATTGTTTTTTCAAAATATACATTGACAATGCTGTTCCTGAATATGAGAATAAAATTGTTGGCACTATCAAAGGGTTTGGTATACCTGTTGGACTGCCTTGGCACCTCACATATGAGGTTTATGTCCCTATAAATTGTAATGGGGAGTTTCATTGGGTCTTGGCAGTCGTTGTATTGAAGGAACGACACATAAAAGTGTATGATTCGATGTCCTCATCTAGGACTAACAGAAAATTGTGCGCCGAGATTCAAAAGTTGTCTACAATGTTGCCAAAGTACCTTGAACATTTGATCAAAAAGACCGAACCAACTGGTAAGTTCTTGAATCTTACCAGGGCAAGAACAAATCTCACCCATTCAAAGTCATACATGTTACTGGTATTGCCCAACAAGCAAGCAATAATCTGTAAGTAGTATCACATTATTTTTTTAGTCTTACCACTATTGAAATGTGATGTTAATATTAGGTTTATTATATTTTCTAATTGATGATATACCATGCAGTGATTGTGGAGTTTTTGTTGCTGCATACGCTGAGTTTTTGAGTGATGGACTACAAATATCATCTGATGGAATTATTTCTCAATCCCTTCGCTTGAGATATGCTTCACTCCTATGGAATTATGGGATTTTAAAGGCTCGGAGTGGCTATGTTAGTATCAATGAAGACCCACAGAGGCCTAGACCTAAAAAATCAAAGTTCATAGATGAAAATGTAGTGGTTACCACCATTGATTAGATTGATGGTTATGCATACCATTGTGAATTACCTTTTTGTTGATAAGTTGTATAAAACAATTGGTGAAGTGTTCATTTTTGCTGATAATATTAATATTAATGATTATTATTATTTTAATTTGTTGGAACAAATGTCAATTATGATGGAAAGAAAGAAGTGTGGTGTATGTGGCAACATATATAACCTCTGTTGTAAAATATACCATAGAATTATCTACATGTTCCCTAACAAAAATGATACATGTGGCAACATATGTCACAGAAAGAAAATATGTGGTAACATATGTCAGAGAAAGTAGATATGTGGCAACATTATATTGTCATCAATTGTTCATTTTTGCTGATAATATTAATATTAATGATTATTAATATTATTTTTATTTTGTTGGAACAAATGTCAATTATGATGGAAAGGAAGAAATGTGGTGTCTGTGGCAACATATATAACCTCTGTTGTAAAAAATACCACAAAATTATCTGCATGTGCCCCAACAGAAAGGGTATATGTGGCAACATATGTCACACTTTGAATTGTCAAAATTAAAAAAAATAAAATTAAAAATGTTTAAAACAATCGTCCCTTCATTTTTCCCTCTCTCCTCTCCTCTATAAAAGGTCGTTTCATATTCCAAATTTAATTTATTTTTACTAATTTTTGTTTTCTTTTCTCTTCTTTCTTTCCTTTCTCTCATACCATTATTCCTTCACAGATCAAGATTGTTGTTGCGATATTTTCTACAACATAAGTGGTAATCTGTTGCGATACTCTTCTACAACAAGGCGGCGTTGCCCTCATCATTTCTAGTTTATCGTTGATATCTTCTCAGGTAAAATTTAATTAGGGATTTGAGAAATACTTACTGGTATTAAATCAGGATGTTTTTAGTGGTTTTATCACTTATTTGTTTGTAGGATGGTTGGATAGTTATTCCTTTTTAAATATTATCTGATTTCAAAAAGCTTAATTTGTATTTCGTTGGTTAGGGTTTAGGGAGGTTTTTGTTGTTTGTTGGTTGGTTCATATGTGGTATTGAATCGTATTTGTTGTTTGTGTTGTTGTGTTTGTTTGTTGTTATTTTTGTTAAGAAATGTTTGATTTTTGTGGTTGCAGATACAAATATAATGGCTCCTGTCAATAGAAAAATTGTATTAACAAAAGAAACAACTGACACAAAGATCCAGAAGAGGCCTAAGACTAAAATTTGTAGGAAGAAGAATGAAAATTTGACTATCACTCTTTTAGAAGAACTTGCATCTGAAGCAGTTTCTTCTTCTC